TGCCCTTAGAAGCCATCACAGCCATGACAACAAATTAGTGTAGGGAGAGGATGCTGCATCTGTGAGGGACAGATTAGGAAATAATTCTGGTGTTGAATCTGCAAACTACAGCGATTATTTTTGTGGGTGCTATACTACATTTTTGTACCCTGCTCTGAGCCCAGTGCCACAGAGAAATAAGCAATCAGTCTGTTTGTTAGGTGGGCACTTGCAACTGCCTGTGTGCCAGGCACATTACTTTAATCCTGTTCTTGTATTTCAGTGGGCAACATCTAGGCATTTTTAAATACTGCTGTGACGTTGCAGTTTGACAAATTCAAATTTTTTTTGGTACTAAAAAGTAAATTTGTGGTGTGCACTTCATATCTGCGAGTCAAACAGAACCGTCAAATACTGTGGTTACATCGCACTTTGAAAAATTCTAATTTTTTTGGTGCTAAAAAGTACATTTGTGGCGTGCACTTCATATCTGAGAGTCAAATAGAACCGTCAAATACTGTGGTTACATCGCACTTTGAAAAATTCTATTTTTTTTGGTGCTAAAAAGTAATTTTGTGGCGTGCACTTCATATCTGAGAGTCAAATAGAGCCGTCAACAAATACTGTGGTTACATCGCAGTTTGACCAATTCAAATTTTTTGGGGTGCTAAAAAGTAAATTTGGGGTGTGCACTTTATATCTGAGAGTCAAATAGAACCGTCAAACACTGTGGTTACATCGCACTTTGAAAAATTAACTTTTTTCGGTGCTAAATAGTACATTTGCTCCCTGCGGTGCACTTCATATCTGAGAGTCAAATAGAACCAACAAATACCGTGGTTACATCGCACTTTGAAAAATTCCCATTTTGTTTGTGCTAAAAAGTAAATTTGGGGTGTGCATTTCATATCTGAGAGTCAAATAGAACCGTCAAATACTGTGGTTACATCGCACTTTGAAAAATTAACTTTTTTTGGTGCTAAATAGTAAATTTGTGGCGTGCACGTCATATCTGAGAGTCAAATAGAACCATCAAATACTGTGGTTACATCGCACTTTGAAAAATTCACATTTTTTTGGTGCTAAAAAGTTAATTTGGGGCGTGCACTTCATATCTGAGAGTCAAATAGAACCGTCAAATACCGTGGTTACATCACACTTGAAAAATTCACATTTCTTTGGTGCTAAAAAGTTAATTTGGGGCGTGCACTTCATATCTGAGAGTCAAATAGAACCATCAAATACTGTGGTTACATCGCACTTTGAAAAATTCAATTTTTTTGGGTGCTAAATAGTACATTTGCTGCCTGCGGTGCACTTCATATCTGAGAGTCAAATAGAATCGTCAAATACTGTGGTTACATCGCACTTTGAAAAATTCACATTTCTTTGGTGCTAAAAAGTAAATTTGGGGAGTGCACTTCATATCTGAGAGTCAAATAGAACCACCAAATACTGCTGTGACATTGCAGTTTGACTAATTCACATTTTTTTGGTGCCAAAAAGTACATTTGTGACGTGCACTTCATATTTGAGAGTCAAATATAACCGTCAAATACTGTGGTTACATCGCATTGTGAAAAATTCACATTTCTTTGGTTACTCTGGTTACATTGTGCAGCGGATGGCACTGTGGCTGTCCTTAAAAGACTATGAGAATCCTGCAATTCGTGTGTTGTTTCTGATTTGTATTCCCTGTAAATGGCATTCGTATGTTTGTTCGGTAGTTTCCATCTGTATTTCATACGAATGGAAACTACCAAACTAATAGACCTCCCCAGAGTGAAGTGTGTTCCCAATTAAGCTGTCGAAAATGTGTTAACCACAGACTAATAGGTGGTTTATTGATGTATCTGGGTGGCCACCATTCTGCATACGAACACGTGGCGGCGTCCATCTTACGCACAAAAGACTCAGCGGTGTTTGGTCGTCGAGTGTCTGGAACTCAAATCGGACACTCGATTACCCGAACACTGCTGACACCTCCAGAGCTCCATAACTCCCAAACGGGAAGACGAATTAGCCCCCCGTTCTGTGAGTTTGGAGTACCGAACAAGGGCATTCAGGCGAATGACAGTTTAATCGTGGATGGCATGTATTTCTATGTATTTTACCTCCTGAACGGAGCCCGACCACAGGGCCAAAACGCATGGAACCCGTTTCGGATTCCACCTCATGTGCGGTCGGTCAAATTTCACCCTCCACCTAACTCCCGAACCCCTGGTCTGATCTGGGTGAATTTTGGATATGTTGGTCACCCAGATCAGGGCTACCAGGGGGTACCCTAAATATGGGTGTACCTGCTAATCTTGGGGTACATCCAGAACTTGGGGAAAACTGTGTCTTGTATAATGGGATTAGGTGTCATACTAAGGGGAGGAGATGGGTGGGAGGTAACTACTATGCCATTGGGTACTGTCCTAATGAATGTGAATCCCTCCCTTGCATGGGAGAAATGCTTAAAAGGAGGTTGTGTGTAATAAAAGTCAGTTCTGCTCCTGATGCTGTGTGTCGTCCAGTCATTGGGATCTGTATGGGGATATTCTTGGATTGCCTTGCTTATTGGAATTATTGCTTCATGGGATTTTTCATCACTTGTTCCTGAGCCTCACTGGGATCTTAGTGGAGTTAACCTGTGAAATACCAGGCCTCCGCTACACATCGCATTTGGAATCTGTTGCTGTCAACTCTCAAAATGAGATCCAAAGAGCTGTCACTATCATGAAGCAAACCATCATTAGGCTGAAAAAACAAAACAAACCCATCAGAGAGATAGCAAAAATATTAGGTGTGGCCAAATCAACTGTTTGGAACATCCTTAAAAAGAAAGAACGCACCGGTGAGCTCAGCATTACCAAAAGACCCGGAAGACCACGGAAAACAACTGTAGTGGATGACCGAAGAATTCTTTCCCTGGTGAAGAAAACAGTTGGCCAGATCAAGAACACTCTCCAGGAGGTAGGTGTATGTGTGTCAAAGTCAACAATCAAGAGAAGCCTTCACCAGAGTGAATACAGAGGGTTCACCACAAGATGTAAACCATTGGTGAGCCTCAAAAACAGGAAGTCCAAACAACATCTAAAAAAGCCTTCACAGTTCTGGAACAACATCATATGGACAGATGAGACCAAGATCAACTTGTACCAGAGTGATGGGAAGAGAAGAGTATGGAGAAGGAAAGGAACTGATCATGATCCAAAGCATACCACCTCATCAGTGAAGCATGGTGGTGGTAGTGTCATGGCGTGGGCATGTATGGCTGCCAATGGAACTGGTTCTCTTGTATTTATTGATGATGTGACTGCTGACAAAAGCAGCAGGATGAATTCTGAAGTGTTTCGGGCAATATTATCTGCTCATATTCAGCCAAATGCTTCAGAACTCATTGGACGGCGCTTCACAGTGCAGATGGACAATGACCCGAAGCATACTGCAAAAGCAACCAAAGAGTTTTTTAAGGGAAAGAAGTGGAATGTTATGCAATGGCCAAGTCAATCATCTGACCTGAATCCGATTGAGCATGCATTTCACTTGATGAAGACAAAACTGAAGGGAAAATGCCCCAAGAACAAGCAGGAACTGAAGACAGTTGCAGTAGAGGCCTGGCAGAGCATCACCAGGGATGAAACCCAGCGTCTGGTGATGTCTATGCGTTCCAGACTTCAGGCTGTAATTGACTGCAAAGGATTTGCAACCATGTATTAAAAAGTGAAAGTTTGATTTATGACTGTTAATCTGTCCCATTACTTTTGGTCCCTTAAAAAGTGGGAGGCACATATACAAACTGTTGTAATTCCTACACCGTTCACCTGATTTGGATGTAAATACCCTCAAATTAAAGCTGAAAGTCAAATAGAACCATCAAATATTGTGGTTACATCGCACTTTGAAATATTCACGTCTGTTTGGTGCTAAATAGTACATTTGCGGCCTGCGGTGCATTTATTGCAGTCCAATAAAACCCTTAAATACTACTGTTACATTGTTGGTTTTTAAAAAATCACACTTTTTTGTGCTAAATAGAACATTTGTGGCCTGCGGTGCATTTCTTGCAGTCCAATAAAAATTTAAATTAAAATAGTCACTGGAGAGAAAGAGGAAGTACCCCCCTACCCACCCGCGATCCCAGACCCTGAATGCCAGAATTTCTAAATTCCTGGCCTTTGAAATGCTGTCATTCCGTCTGGTGGAGACGGACAGTTTTAAAAACCTGATGGCGGTGGCTGTCCCACAGTACGTGGTTCCCAGCCGCCACTACTTTTCCAGGCAAGCCATCCCTTCCCTGCACAACCAATTGGCGGACAAAATCAGGTGTGCATTGCGCCACACCGTCTGTGGCAAGGTCCACATAACCACTGATACGTGGACCAGTAAGCACGGGCAGGGATGCTATATCTGCCTAACTGCACACTGGGCAAATGTAGTAGCGGCTGGGCCTGACGCGGATAGCAGATTGGCGCATGTCCTCCCGCCACCGAGGATTGCAGGGCATTTCTTTTTGCCTCCTCCGCTTTCTCCTTCTCTACCACCTCCTCATCCGGTCAGCGTAACACCTTCACCACCAACTTCAGCACAGCCAGAAGGGAAACGACAGCAGGCTGTTTTAAAACTCATATGTTTGGGGAGAAAACCCCACACCGCGCAGGAGCTGTGGACGGGCATGGAACAACAGACCGATGAGTGGTTGCCACTGAGCCTCAAGCCCGGCCTGGTGGTGTGCGATAATGGACGAAATCTCGTAGCAGCTCTGGGCCTAGCCGGTTTGACGCACATCCCTTGCCTGGCGCATGTGCTGAATTTGGTGGTGCAGAAATTCCTGAAAAACTACCCATATATATCAGAGCTGCTGCAGAAAGTGCCCGCCATCTGTGCGCGCTTTCGGCGTTCTCGCCCTGCTGCTGCTCGCCTGTCTGCGCTGCAGCGTAACTTCGGCCTTCCCGCTCACCGCCTCATATGCGACGTGCCCACAAGGTGGAACTCCACCTTGCACATGCTGGAGAGACTGTGCGAGCAGCAGCAGGTGATAGTTGAGTTTCAGCTCTGCACCAGACTTGCCCTCCAACAGATCCTCGTTAAAGGATTTAAAGTGTACTCATTCCAATTACAGGGCCTCGAAAGAGTCCTGTATTGTTATTTTTCGTCACTACCTCCCCGCGTCGGGAGTGGGTAATTTGCGTGCCTGCTGCCTTTCTTGGATGCGGTAGCCGTTTCTCAGGCTCCCTCTCCAGAATCGAACCCTGATTCCCTGTTACCCGTGGTCATCATGGTAGGCGCAGAAAGTACCAGCGAAAGTTGATAGGGCAGAAATCCGAATGTGTCGTCGCCGTCACGGGGACGTGCGATCGGCCCAAGGTTAGCTAGAGTCACAAAAGTGCCTGCGCAATGACTGCTGAGTTGCCCACATTTTAACTTGTGCTGATTACTGGGTGGCCACCCTGCTGGATCCCCATCCTTAATTCCCTCACTGGAGCGTGATCGGAAGATGCGCGACTACAAGCGCACGCTGGTAGACACGCTGTTGAGCGCATTCCCAGCTGACACTGGGGGCTCAGTGAAAGCACAAGGCAAAGGCAGAGTAGGAGGAAGAGGTAGCCAATGCAGCTAGGGCACCGCCAGCACCTCAGAAGGCAGGGTTAGCATGAAATGTGGAAAAGCTTTGTCAGCATGCCACAACAACTAGCACCATCAGCTTATATGGAACGTCTTAGCAGGAGGCAGCATTTCAGCAACATGGTGGAACAGTACATGTGCACACGCCTACACGTACTGAATGATGGGTCTGCCCCATTCAACTTCTGGGCCTCCAAATTGGGCACATGGTCTGAGCTTGCTCTTTATGCCTTGGAGGTGCTGGCCTGCCCTGCAGCCAGTGTATTATGTGAACGTGTGTTTAGCACGGCAGGGGGTGTTATCACAGACAAGCGCAGCCACCTGTCCACAGCCAACATGGACAAGCTCACGTTTATTTATTAAAATTAACCAGGCATGGATCCCACCAGACTTGTCTGTACCTTGTGCAGAATAGACATTTATACCGGCCTCACCCAGCCATTGTTATACTCATGTGCACTTATTCTTTGTTTTCTTTTTTTATATGTCCCAATATTTTGGGGGCCACCCCAATTGTTTGCAGGCTACTTGTCCTACTCTTACCCCCATTTTACTTCCTTTTGCAGCCCTCTAGCCCTTTCCAGGACTTTTTTAGAGCCATTTTGGGCCCAAAAGTTCAGGTCCCCATTGACTTCAATGGGGTTCGGGTTCGGGGTCAAGTTCGGGTCAAGTTCGAGTACGAACTTTTTGCCGAAGTTCAGCCGAACCCGGCGAACCCGAACATCCAGGTGATCGCCCATCTCTACCTATGGGTTCATTCTGTACTCAGAAGGTATAGCTGCGCACAGTGTGAGTGATTTTTATTACAGTAGCACATATCAAGTTTACAAATTAAATTGGTAAATTGCAATGTGCATGTAAAAAAATGTGTAAATAAAATACGATAAACATTGAAAGAAATTGGTGCTAAAATGGCTGTATAGTAAGGCTCAAAATAAGCCATATTCTCCTGAGACCCAGTCCATTAACTTATGTCCTCTGTACTGGAAATTTCATTCACATGAATTTCCTTTTATTCTTTTGAGCTACTCTATCAATCCCTGCTGTATTGTAAAGAGAACATATTGGCTTTTGCTGAGATATGTCATGTGCTGGGATACTGAAACTTCCTCTTCCTTTCCATCACAAAATAAAAAGAAATTGGAAGACAATTTTGTCTTCGGTTCCCAGGAGGATATTACATACCCAGTAGTATCTACTGTAACAATTGGTATGCATTCATGATGTGATTTGAACTGTGAAAGTGCTACAATGTCCCAAAATGCAGAATAGGCTCAGCAAATTCATCAATGGAAATTCTTATTGTAAAATTGAAATAGTCAGGTCTCTTATAATTGCAACTTTGCAAATAAGTGCTTAAGGCATATACTGGGGGTATTGATTTGTTCAGAGTTTGCAGAGTATAATTTTGGGGGTTGACCATAGTCGCACATATCAGAATTAGGAAATGGCCAGTTAAATTGTAATATATGAAAAATGCAACACCAAGAAAAGTTTATCACATAAACAGGTTCATAAACAGGTGAAAAATGGCAGCATGCTGTAAGCACGATATACTCCGTATGAGGTACCCTGGAATTTCTACTTTCACAAATGGTAGGCCTTTGTCGGGTAATTTCAACAGTAAACTGATATAACGCCCCAAGTTGAGACATAGACCAGTCAAATCCATCTATAAAAATTCTAACTGTGAAAACTGAAATGGTAAGGTCTCTTCGGTACTTACATTGGGGGTATCATACTCAGAAGATGTAGCTGAACACAATATTGGGTTTTGTACAGTAGCAGCACACATCAAGTTTACACACAAAAAAAACATATTTTATGTGTGTATGTTAAAAATCTGGGGGGGAAATAATTTTACTACACTATTTAGCAGAGATTTGCAATTAAATGACTACATAATAAGTCAAAATACCTTTTAGATAAATCGCTTGTGATGTATTCTTTATATAAAAATGTACTTTTGTGTGGTAATTTTGTTTTCTGTGATGGCTATTAAACTTACTGTGCAAATATAGCAAATTCTAAAATTGCTCCACAATGCAATTATATTTTACTCCATGTATTTTGTGACCTGTAATTACCAAAAATAAACCCAAATCCTATACATATTATGTATTCTGTAAATCAGGACAAATAAATGAATTTATTTACAATTTATTTTCTTAAGCTGCACTAATTATGCACACATTATTATTGCCAAAACTTTTAAAAAAAATTTTGCTTTTATTTATTTATTTTTTTACAGCAAATGAGAATTTATATATGTATATTTCACATAAAATTAAAGCCCTTTCTGTATTTAAAAAATTGTATTGGGGCCGAAAATTAGAAATATGGTGTAGCGGAGAGCTGGTATTACACAGCCTATCTCCACTTTGGATCCCAGGGAGGTTCAGGAACAAGCAATTATAAATCCATAGGGTAAAGTATCCAGCAGGCAAAATAGCCCAGCAGTATCCCAACAGCAATCCCAATAACTGGACGACACACAGTTTCAGGAGCAGAACAAAAGCTTTATTCAGACAGTGGCCTTTTAAAGCCTGCTCCCATGCAAGGGAGGGATTTTCATTCATTAGTATAGTAGCCAATCCTGCTCGGGTAATCTCCCACACATCTCCTCCCCTCAGCCTGCATCATAATCCCCTTATCCAGCACAACAATTCCCCCCGTTTCTGGATGTACCCCTAAATGTAGGGGTACCACTTTAAATTATACATCCCCTGGTAGCCCTGATCTGGGTGAACAACATATCCAAAAATCACCCAGATCAGACCAGGGGTTCGGGAAATTCATGGAGGGAATAAAATGACCGACCGCACTGGATAGAACAGCCAAATGAGGTTCCATGCGAATGGGCCCTGCGGTCGGTCCTGGAGTCAGGGAATAAACGGCACGAAAGCCTCTAGCTACAGAGACTAGGGAGGGTTCGCCTGTATCCCCTCGTTCGGTTCTTTCTATTTACCGAACGAGGGGCCGTTCGGTAGTTTGGAACCGAACGGACCGGGCTTGTGGAGGTTTCAGCGGTGTTCGCCTAGTCGAGTGTCCGATTTGAGTTCCAGACACTCGACGGCAAAACACCGCTGTTCGGGAGTTTTAAAATGGCCGCCGCCACGTGTTCGTTTTTCGAATGGCGGCCAAGAACAAAGGACGGCTACTTAGCTTGTCAATTACCCGTTCGCAACAATGTTGCAACAGGTAATTGAAGGCACACTTCACACAGGGGAGGTCTGACTGTTCGGTAGTTTCATTCGAACAAACTAAGGGAATGAAACTACCTAACATTCAGACGAATACAATATATTTAACACATAGAACTTAGTTACTTTACACGAATGCATTCAAATACATGTAATTTTTCAGGACAGCTCAGTGCCATCCGCTACATATGGGAAATGTGGTTGAATACACACAGAGCACCAATGCCAAGATTGCTTGTGTCTTTAAGTGAAAAACAAATTCGAGGGGCAGTTTAGTCACCATAACAACTTTATCTACATGACATTGCTATGGTGCCTTCTGGTGTAAGAAGGTCACTGGGTTCACGCTTCCCTCAAAGGAACCGTTTTCGAATGGTTAAACCACAAAATTGCCTTTAGCGCCGGTCTCCGCTCCCACACCCCGGTAGATTCTGTCTTCTGAAATGTCACTTTCAGGAGGTGCGGAGGGTCGCTGGGCATGTGCATCGCTGATTGGTTGATTGCTTTGTGAAAGTGACATTTCAGAAGCTGGATGCCGTAAGGCAGGCTTCCCCAAACTCCGGCCCTCCAGATGTTGCTGAACTACAACTCCCATGATTCTCAGCCTATCTATTTCATTCATAGAATCATGGGAGTTGTAGTTCAGCAACATCTGGAGGGCCGGAGTTTGGGGAAGCGTGCTGTAAGGGGTGGACTGAGACTGGCGCTGGAAGCAACTTTGGGGTTAAACCTTTCGAAAATGGTTTAACCCCTTGAGATACAGGTTTTGGTGTTAGACCTTTCGAAAATGGTTTAACCCCTTGAGATACAAGTGAACCTGGCTGCCTCCTGGCATTATAACAACTTAATTTAGATGAAGTTGTTTTGGTACCTAGAGTGTTCCTTTATACTTGGTCCTTAAGGGTTTATAATAATGTAACAACCACCCCCTACATCCTGCACCCTGCCTACTCAACTGTGCAACCACAGTGGCTTTAATGCTAGCTCATCAGCGTCAGAACAGAATTGCTTCACCTGTGACATTTGTACATTTGCTAGAAATTCTGCTGGCACACTGTATATACTAAATTCTATGTTCTTTTATTTAATGTCAACTTGTGTATTCCGTGACAGATACATTTTAATTAATAACTGAAAATTAAAATGAGAGTGTGCTCATAAATGAGTTACAATCCTCTGTTATAATTTAAAGTATCTCTGTCACCTCAACATTTCTTTATATAAATCAATTTATAACAATATGCCCAACAGTTACCATTTGTGTTTATATATAACACTTTTATTATAGACTAGAGACAATCAACCTAGAATAAACTTTATT